GGAGAGAAATAGAAGAATTTTCAAGAATGCCCAGGAATTGGCTTTACATGTTGCCTCAAGAGTCGAGGAAGACACTGCACAAAGGAAAAGGGCTTTACAAAGGAAAGGCTAGCAAGCTAGGATTCACGCTATCAGTGTTTGATGATCTTTTTTTTTTCCTCCTTTGCCTCCCCTTTCTGCTGAACTAAGACATGTGCATAAAACTTTTCTCTCCTTCCTTAACTGAAAGGCAGAGCTCTATCCCCCTCAGGACACTACTCAGCAAAATCTGCATATGAACATCTCTTTCAAGGATCAATTCTATTTAGACCTTGGAACGGATTTGGAAGACGTGGCCCCCCGGAAAATGCAAGTTCTTTTTATGGTTAGTCGAACATGACAGGTGTTGGACAGCTAATCGTCTTACCCGTCGAGGCCTGCCCTGTCCAGAACGTTGTCCTTTATGCGATCAGGAGCAAGAGACAATTAACCATCTTCTAGTATCCTGTCCCTTTGCAAGGCAATACTGGTATTCCCTGCTATGTCAGGTTGGGTTGCAACAATTCGCTCCTCAGGCAACTGATATGGTGTTCGATGATTGGTGGGACAGATTGTGGCATGCTGCTCCGGAACAGCAAAAGAAAGGTCTCAATTCTCTGGTTGTTTTAGGTGCTTGGGTTCTTTGGACTCACCGCAATTTGTGTGTTTTTGACGGAGCTGCTCATAACGACATCTTTGGGAGATAGCAGGCGCATAAAGCCTCTCTTCCTTGATTACCGCGGCACTTTTGCCTTAGAGTGGCCTAGTTGTTGGTTTTGTGGTTGTCTTTTTATATTTAGCAGGCAAAAATGTAATCTAAAACTTTAGCTTGATGTGTGTAGAGTGTGTGTGGGTGTTTGGGTTCTTGTCCCATATTTTCTTCTTAATATAATGAAGCGTAACTCTCCTGCATTTTCCGGAAAAAAGAGCTCTTACTGTTTGTTTTTGTTTAAAAAAAGAATGGTACGAGGCGCATCGACGGCGCTGGTGGAGGTGAAGCTGCTGATGGCCGAACAGCTGGCGCGCAGGCAGGCCGCGGCCGGCGCCACCGGGGAGCACTGGTCCTTCGCGTACGCCATGCTGCGGCGCGTCTCCCGCAGTTTCGCGCTCCTCATCCAGCAGCTCACCGAGGCAGAGCTCCGCAACGCCGTACGCCGGCGCCCTGCCCTGTCCTTGGGCGGGCTAGCTTCGCTTCCGTTCTCATCCAGCGCTGATGCCTCGTGCTCTCTTGTGCAGGTCTGCGTCTTCTACCTGTGCTCCGTGCGCTCTCGACACTGTCGGTAAGCACAACAATTTCTTTCTTCACTCAACACTGCTACTCATCTTGTGAGAAACGTACATATAGTTAGTATAATGGGACTTTTTTTTTCCCGGAAATGGTTCTTTTTAATTTGGACCCCTTCCAGGACATGGATTTCCCAAATCCAAAAGAGAAAAAAGAACACATGGTGGAATTTTTGATAGTATGGTTTTCCTTGTTGAGATGTATGTTGACACATGAATTTTTCAAATTTTCACTCATGGTGCCTGTAGAACGTACTTCCTCGGTTCCAAATTATAAGTCGTTCTGACTAGTTCTAGATACGTAGCTTTGGCTATGCACTAGATATATATTATGTCTAGATATGTTGTAGAAACTATGTATCTAGAAAAATCAGAACGATTTATAATTTGAAATGGAGAGATTAGCTAGGTTACGTTTATGAAGTTGAGGGGCACACGGAAATTTATGTAGTTGACAAGTGTGATTGACAAAGTACGGAGTATTTGTTGTCTAACATGTCTACTCCCTCCGTCCCATTGAGTTTGTCGTTGGAAAACCGTGCCCCCCTCACAATCCCGCTTCCCGAGCGACAATCTTAACGGGACGGAGGGAGTACTTTCGTTTCAGATGGAGTGCAGAAGACGACACTATATAGGCTGCAGTTGTTACGGCTGCAATCATAGTTCCGGGATCGGTACATGAACATGAGCCATCCGTTCAAGCAGAGCGGTGGCGTCTGATGGGGGATGTGCCCTGCAGCCACCGGCAAGATCATGGAATGGGAGATGTGAGGGCTAGGGTGTGTGGGTAGTAGCCCAACAAGAAAAGGTCGGCACACAGAGATGAGCTCACCACCATGGCTCCCCACCTCGACTCGCCAAGGACCACGTACCCCGGCACTCGAGGCATTGGGAGCGGAGGAGCAACAGGGGTCGAGGACACGCCTCCTCGCGATCGAGTCACATCCCGTGAGACTACACGGTCAATGACACGTGCGCGATTCAAGAAGTATAACTCCTTCGTCAGCGTCAAAAGGAGCAGAAAGCATGACAACATTTTTTCGATAAAGCTAGCGTCCGAACCTATGGGCCCAGGCCTGCGTCCAGACGCAGCTCCCGCGCCCCCCGTGCCCGCATCGCATTTCACGCGTCCGTCCCGTTCCCAACCAGCGCCAGCGCCCAACACGGCAGAATCGCGCCCCAGCGCCCATCCCGTGTCCGCACAGCGTAACCGCCCACCTGCCCCGCTTGCGGATGCGTGCCGTGGAGGCGTTTACAGGCCTCAGGCGCCATCACGTGAACCACGGCGGCGCACCAGCAGTAGTAGGCGGACAATGGCCTGCAACACAAGATCTACTTTTGAAACATCCAGATAAAACATTTTGACATATGCCTGAAAACATAAAACACTTGAACATGCGTGTATAACCATTGCAACATGTGTAAACACCAGATCAACTTTTGAAACATCCAGATGAAACATTTAAAACGAATGTTTAAAACACCTGAAACACTTAAAACATATGATTGTAACATGAGTATATTGACATTGCAACATATGCAACATCCCATATTGTCTTTTGCAACAAATGCCTGAAACACTTCAAACACGGTGCCGCCGACAGCCATGGCCTACCTAGTGGGGGACTACGGTAACCAGCAAGCTCAGGTCTAAAGGGAAAGTCGAGAGCAAACGGACCAGCGTGCGCAGGCCTCCCCTTCCTGCCGCGGAAGACAAAGTCCGGACCGACGAGGTGGACGGGGGCGCGTCGGTGAATATGCGCGAGGCGCGGTAGGGGAAGGGTGCTGCATGCGCGGGGGACGGACGTGCAGTGGGGAACGGGACGCGGCGGAGGCAGAGTGCGGCGGCGGATGTGCGGTGATGCCCAGACAGTAGATGCGAGTGCGATGGGGAAGAGCACGCTTGTTGGGTGTCCGCTGCGCAGGCCCATGGAGATAGCGTCCGGATGGGGGCGGACGCCCGTTGCCAAGTATTAGCGATTTTTTGTTGGTTTAGAACCGCACTCTACCAAACCAGTATATCTGAGAGCACTCTATCATCGTCGAATCATGGCTATAACCGACAGGGATAGGTGGAGTATCGCTGTCGGTTCATGGCCACAACCACCAGTATCATGAACCAGCAGTGATAGTCCACCTATCACTGTCAGTTTGTGGCTTGTACCGCTAGTGATAGGATGTTTTGTAAAAAGAAATCATATTTTTTTCATGTGATGTCGGATCAAGATAAAGTTTATATCAAAATTGTATAGTTCAAAGAGATATATAACTTTTTAGTTGACAAATTTTAATTTGAGATGGTTTACATGTCGAATTTTTCAATAAAATTTCTTGGATTTGAGATGGTTAATAACGTTGAATGAAGACAAAGTTAACAACAAAGTTATAGTACTCGATGAGATTGGCAACTTTTCTGTTAACAACTTTTTTATTTGAGATTGTTTAGAGTGTCAAATATAAAACATAAGATTAGAAATTGTGTAGTTAAAAGAATAACATCAGTTGTGTACTCACATGTGTCACGTAACTCTACTGGTATGGACGCTCGAGAGAACGCGACTGTTAGGGTCTTGAGATCAAACCATGTAAACACATACTTTCGATGTTTTATCACTTATTTCTGACTTCAGCTCATTGTAAGGGGTCGGAGCAAAAAAAAGATGACTTCTCCTGGCTCCTCCTCACAAATCTAATACAAATTATTAAAAAAACTGCTACTGAAGCCATTTTTGCCGAATGTATGATAAAATGGCTTTAGGTCTACCAAATGGGGTAGAAGCCATATTTCTATGAGAAGCCGGAATCAGAGCCCTACAAAACGGGGCCAAAATTGCTAGGCAGCTATACTGTAAAAGCTAGGTGTAAGTGTGTAACGACCAACATCCTCTCGTCGGCGGTGAGCTCACCAAAGGAAGAAAGGGAGGCCATATCTGAGGGACCTAAGGGGCTCAGGCTTTGGTGACAGTGTGACAGACAAGAACTTCTGTGGCGTCTCGGAAAGAGAAAAGGTTCCATATGGCATGCTAAGACTCGCAAAGATAATGATAGGATTGAAAAGGGAAGATCTTAGCAGCCATGTTCCTGTAAGGGAACTAGATCGTAAAGTTATATTTTATAATGTTCACTATAGAAATGTAAATGTTTTCAGAACGGGAACACGAATGTTTTCAGATTAATGTTCCTAGAACGAGGAAACGCGATCATTATGTTGTATGTTTCCCACTGCTAAGGGAAAAACCACGCTAGCATAGGATCACATTAAAGAAAAAAAGTCAAATGGCGGCATTAACACATCTTTCAGAGTCTGTTTGGTTCGCGCCTCCCGGCAGCCACCTACCATGCATGCGATTCTAGTCCTAGATGACCGAAATCGAATGTCTGGGAGTGCTACCTGGGCCAGGCAACTCCACCGAGGAGAGAACCAAACAGCCCTCAGTCTTTCACTCTGTTGGGCATACAAGTTTTAACTTTTTTTTTATTTGCCGGCCAGCCTACACAAAACTGAAGCCCGTGCCGGGTGCAACGCAGTTGATAATTCTATGACCTCGACACAAAAGAGGAAAGAAAAATCTCACATCAAGTACAATCTCACGTATGCACAAATGCTGCTGGCGTAGCGATAGCGAGAGCGAGAACGCGGCCGACGTCCCGCGGGCCGCATCCCACGGGCCACACGCAGGTAGATACGAGCACGCACCCTACTGCTGCGCGTGCGACGCCGGCGGATGACCCATGCAGGCGCAGAACGCGGCCGAGATCCGCCGCCGCCGCCTCGCGGGCCTCTCCTGGCGCTTGCCTCCGTCTGCTTTGACGACGACACTGGCCGCCGCCGGGGACGCAGAGGCCGCCACCTCTGGGCTCTCCACAATGACTCCTGCTGACGACGCGCCGCCCGCGCCTCCGCCGCCGCCGCTGTGGCGCATCAGCGAGCGGGACACGACGCGGGGCGAGGGGTCCCCAGCGAGGACGCTGGCGTCGTGATGCAGCGGCGCCGCCTTGGGCGTCGTCGACAGCCCCTTGAGGTCCAGGCCCCTCAGCGGGTCGTCCCAGATGCGCCCCGACGAGCCCTGACGGCGGAACGACACCGACGACCTCTGCAGCCTCGACATTGACGACGACGCCCGGTCTCTGTGTTGTCACGAAAGGTCGATCGCGATGGACTCCAGCTCAAAGACTCGTCGGCTTCTTCTTATAATATAGCGCCGCCGGCGGTGATGCGCTGGTGGTAAGCATGGACGTCCGTCCGTACGTCGTTGTTCTGGTTGGTGAGCCTAACATAGGAGGCAGTTTGGCGCGAAAACATAGGGTGGTTGCTGGGGAAGGGGGGTTGAACGGCGCACGTCTACTACAACGCCAATCACATGGTCTTCAAAGATTTTCTTTTCTTTATTACAAGTTAGCGTGTCCGTGTGTTGTTTCGGGACAACTAAATTTTTTATACTAAAAACACACGGATCGTACGATAAGATAACAATACTATTAAATTAAATCCGACGTTAAAGTGACATTTAATTCAAAAAGCAAAGTTCGTGAAATTAACACAGTCACGGAGAGCGCGGCGTCGCAGGCTCACAAACTCAACTGTATAGACTTTTCGTGATATGACTAAGATAATATTTTATATCGGCGGAAAGAATTCTTCGATATCCATTTCTTTCATGCGCCAATAAATCCATGAATAAGTTCTGCTGCATCTCCATATAATTCTGTACACACAGGTTCGAGTAGATATGTAAATATTAATGCCTGTCACATGGATAATACTGCGTGTCTTAAAAAATCTCTCATAAAAAATTAAAACAAAGTATGTTATACTCACCGTATAAATATGTGTGGCTTTAGGACTATTCCACACAGACACATATTGTATAAAAAGGTATCCACTTGAGTGTCTGTTCCAAGATATTGAATCAGGTGTTGTAATTCTTAATTTCGACACATTTTTCAGATCAAGGCAACCAATGGTGACACTTTTCTTAGTGGTGCATAATTTTATGATGCATCTCTTGACTATCTGAGTAAGGACAAGTTAGCACTGTAAAGGCTCAGAAAAGCTGCTAACAAGGCTAAGGTTAAGTTTTCCTCCACTATGCATACTAAAACCTATGTCCCCGTTTATCATTGTCGATGCTTTTAATGCAAAGCAATTCAACATTACCATGATCAGATATAAGTTTGAGTCTCTTGTGAGCAATCTCATAGAGGGACTTTCATCCTTTATGTGATCTGCCTCAAGGATATTGGCAGGACGATTGACCCATATTGGAATGTCGCATCAAAAAGTGTCCACGTTTTGTCCACGATTTATTTCCCATGAATACATGCGGGTACTACGATAACACTAACTACACCAAATGAAAGAATAGCGAGAATTTGCATTGCCTCTAGAAGGATTTATTTATTAAGTTCTTTGAACTCTACATGTAGTTTTGAAATATCTGTTTGCATGTCTTACCTCGTATCCTAATTCAAAAATTTGTAGTTTAATTAGAATATGGGGGAAATGATTTAAAATAAACAGACCCAAGGGCAATTTCAGCAAGAAACAACAAGCGAGGGCGATGGAACACGTGAGCGTGAAACCAAATGAAAGGAGAAAAAAGCTATCCCTTTTGCAAATGCAAAGAGGAGAAGTAATTAAATATAGGCATATTTGGCAAGGTTCTCAGAAATACAAAGAACTTCCTTTTGTCTTAATTCTCTTTCCTTTTGTGTTAATTCTCTTTCCTTTTGCTCGTTGTCATGTATGCTGGTGCATGCAAACATGCAATGCGTATATGGATAGCACAATAATTTTCTACTTCATATTTTGCTGTGATTCCTTTATCACATGACAGACAATATTCAATCAAGGAGAATCGCACCAAAGGACGCAGCATGCGAGAGATGTCGTGGGATCGTAGGCGTGGGTAGACGGACGAACCAAAATAAATGTCGCACCAAAAAATATCTACACTTTATTTTTTTTTAGTTGTAGGATATTACCGAGAGTGTCTTACAGACTTACAGTAAGTCAGCAACTCTTTTTGCCCTAAAAAAAAGGCAGCAACTCTCTTGACTGAAAACCGATCGGAAATATACCAAATCACTTTCAGTTACATATTTTTCTTTAAAATTGAAATCGATACATTATCGTCAAAACAAAACTATTCGATTAAAAGCATCAATAACGATCAAAAATCACCAAAAAGCGATTATATCTAAAAGCGGTAAAAACGCTAATCTCTGCCACATGACATGAGCCTCAACTCATTTCGGTGAGAACCAGCTTCATAGCTACTGGACCATGAAACGGATTTTAGAATTTATTGGCATTCTCTGGAAAGGCACATAACTTGACCCATTTCACGTGAGACGTGACAAACAGCGACAATAATCGATGACACAGAGAGGCAAGAGTGAAACCCATGAACCAAAATTTTGCTCTTCTATGCATTCAATAGCGATGAATATAGGATTAGGGATGCAAGTTAAGTTGAATCGATCCAATAACCCATCAATACCCAATTCAACAACAATAGTGTAGAGATTAGTGTCATGATCTTCGTCGGGATTAGTGTTTGTTCACCTGCATCGATCCATGCATTTACTCGTTTCCTCTTTATTTTTTTTCTTAACTCGCTCACTAGATACAAGCTTTCTAGACGACATGTCTATGCTAATTGAAAAGTTTCTTTTTTTAGATTACACGGTACAAAGCAAACACTCATAGTGCACGCACACTTACCCCTATGAACGCACGCACGCAAACCCTACCCTTATGAGAACTTTCGAAGACTAGGCCGGAGAATCCTCGAGATGAATCTTCGTCGGGATTAGTGTTTGTTCATCTAAGTCGATCCATGCATGTACTCGTTTCCTCTTTATTTTTTCTTATCATGCTCACTAGATACATGCTTTCTAGATGACATGTACAACTCAGACGCTCACAATGCACGCACCCTCACAACCCATATGAGTACATTCGGAGATTAGGCTGGCGAATCCTCGAGATGAGATTGATGAAGTCACCACAGGTGTCTCGTGTCGACGGAACGTCGCCTACCACTGAAACACAAAGCCGTTAAATCCTGCAATGATCGCTCCCACAGGGAGTCGAACCCATGATCTTAGGTGCTACCGATGTTCTTCAAACCACTAGGCTACCAGCCTTTTGTAATTAAATAGTTTCCTGCATTGTCTATCTTTTTTTTAGAAACAGCCCCCTCCTTTTTTGACCACTAATTATCACTACTACAGATATTATTTGTAGCGGCGGTTCAAGACCATTTGTAGGGGCGGTTTGGCCAGCCGCCCCTACTCAACTGTCTCTACAAATCATGCATTTATAGGGGGCGGTTCCCAGACCGCCCCTACAAATTGATTTGTAGAGGCGGCTGGTGTTATCAGCCGCCCCTACAAATCGATTTGTAGGGAGTACCAGCCGCCCCTACAAATCGATTTGTAAGGGCGGCTGGTACTACAGCCGTCCCTACAAATCGATTTGTAGGGGCGGCTATAGTACCAGCCGCCTCTATAATACCTATTTGTAGGGGTGGTTCAGTCTAGAACCGCCCCTATAGTACATTTTTCTGCAAAAAAAAAAATCAAATTTACAATTTGAATTCGACTAGAACCGTCCTGTTTGTTTCCGCGTATTCCCGCGTTCGCGTTGCGAGTGAGCGATCAACGTTCCGAACTGCGTTCTCTCAACGTCCCACCGAACGGCCCACGACCAACGTTCCGAACCGCGTTCTCTCAAGAGTATTATATAAACAACAAGCACAAGAGTATTATATAAATTACAATTACAAGTCCAATTCACAAGAATATATACAATCCATCATTAAATAGACATAATTCACAAGGTAAAACCAATGTCAAATTTCATACACATTGTTATCAACGGCCTAGAGCTAGCCTTTCGGTCTCACGAAGGTGTTGGTACTGAGGATTTCTACCTAAGTCAGACTCTCGGTCATGGTAGGTGCCTTTAACGTGTACAATCTGGTTCAATATGAAGTTGCAAAGGTCGCCGACAAGCTCTAAGAGTTGGTCATTCTTGTATGGGTCTATTTTCATTTCTTTCTCTTCTTTTCACTACAAGAGAACAAGTTTCGGTTTAGTATTTTATACCATGTACGAAGTTTTTATAATACGGGTGAAGAGGTTCAAACTTACCCTTAAGGGGTGTCTCCTATGCTTCAGATATATATGAATATAAATCTAATATAATTACATGAAGCATACAAATACACCATGATAGAGGAAAATTAATTAATGGCACATTTATCCATAAATAATTAAAATACATATTTGTTGATTATAATAAACAATTTCAAAGACAACAATTAGCAACAATTATATTTTACCCAATATCTTTCATGCAAACCTTAGTCCAATTTCATCAAACACAAATTTACAAAAATGAAATTAATAAAAAAACCAAACTGTAGATCTAGATTTACATGTACATGAAACATCCATAAAACTAATTGTTCACTAAAATCAAGAAACATGGACCAAATAAGGGTATGATCTTGTTCCACTACCTAATTTACCCTAGTACATTCAAAACTTGGGTCTAATTTGCTTCATAAGTAGCTCAAGCACCATAGAAGAGAGAGAAAAATAAAACTCTAATTACTCACTAACCAACCATTAAAACTTCAAAAAAAAGTGTGGAATAACATTTTCTTACCTTCTACAACCTCTCCACCAATGAATTTGAGACCAAAACCTTCCCCCCTTAGTAGAGCATTTTTTGGGAGGTGCCCAAGACCTCCCCACATTTCTTTCACGGGTTGGAGTGAGTGACCCGAGGAAGAAGAAGATACTGCAGTTTTTTTTATATGTGAGTCATTTGTAGGGACGGCTGATGATTGAGCCGTCCCTACAAATGGTAGGTAATTATACGTGGGGCACTTATAGGGGCGGTTCAATCACCAGCCGCTCTTACAAATTGAAACACCAGGGATGGCTGGTGAGTGAGCCGCCCCTATAAATCAGACCCATTTGTAGGGGCGGCTCGTATCACCAGCCGCCCCTGCTGTTCCATTTGTAGGGGCGGCTGGTCTCTGGGCTTCCGAGCACGTCACTGTAGGGGCGGCTCCATCACCAGCCGTCACTATAAAAAATTTATCCCGTTGCTACAAACCGTTTTTCACGTAGTGTATATTATAAACTCCAAATGGAGGAGAGATGAGCCACACACATGCTTACCAACAAAATCTAAACTAACAGAACTCTTAGCTAGCTGATGCGTATCAAAATTCGATTGTCGCCCTTCATACACAAAATCAACTCTGGCAAAGCTTTCCGTTCTTCTCTTGATCTCCCAGATAATAGGATCATAGCTCACATACTCCTTGCTGCGTTAGTGCAGTCCATCGCCACTCTTACAGTTTGAAGGCCTAGGCCATCCGTGAGAGCGAGGCCTTCACAACATGCAAGTGCTTCAGCCACCTCCTGCGTTGTCTGTCTGACCGTATCTCCACTGTCCAACTCGTTTCAATCCGTATACTCATCGAGAGAAGAAAGCAGGCCCTTGACGATCGGCCCACAGCCGGCCCATCAGTTTTCGTTCCGATCCGGCCGTACGTTTCGATATATCACACGTGCACCTTCGTCCGATCGGTTGCCCATATATAAACGCGCGCCGCTGCCCCTGCCCGTCTGCTGAGCGAGCCGCGCCGTCGTCGCCTCGCACGCACGAACCCAACCCCAAATATCGCATCTAGGAGCAGATGGCAACGCAAGTCGTCGCGGCGCTGCCGGACGACGCCCTCGCCGACGTGTTCCGTGGCCTGCCGTTGCGGAGCCTGGCCGTAGTCCGGTGCGTCTGCAAGGCGTGGCGCGACGTCGTCGACGACCGCGCGCTGCTACTCCCGCATCTACACCTCCTACTGCGCACCGTGCGAGGAGTCTTCATGAACTACGTAGGCCACCGTACGTGACCCTCACCACTTCGCCCGTCCCTGCTCGTCGTCGACGATCCCCAGAGTAGGCGGCACGCTCAGCTTCTTGCCCGACGACGACCACAGCCGCAGGTCAGTCCTGGACCACTGTCGCGGCCTCCTCCTCTGTGAAACTGAGTGGGGTGGCGAGCTCTGCGTGTGCAACCCGGCGACGTGTCGGTGGACGGTGCTTCCCCCGCCTGGCGCAGATGGCAAGCGTCATCAGCATTACGCTGGTGCGTACGTCGCGTTTGATCCGGCCGAGTCGCCGCACTACCAGGTTATCTTGGTTCCAGCCGTGCCGGCGGCGCCATTATCGCACGAGGACCGCCGGAGGAGGGCGGAGCAGGAGCGGTGTGCACTGCTGCGGGAGGAAGAGAAAGACGCAAAATCACTGGTTTCACTCTACTGAACCTAATTTTGGAGTCAGGTGATGATATTATTCTTCAATCTTGTGTACTGCTATTGCTCCCACCTGTCGGCCGAGCGAGGCAGCGGCAGCACTACCCTTGGAGGAAGGACTCATCACCACAGCCCAGGTATCCCCGCATTTTCCATCCAAGCCAAGCATGCCGACTGCTATTGCTCCCACCTGTCGGCCGATGATGGAAGAGGGGGAACAAGTAGAGCCCAAAAGAATTGAGATATCGAGCCGCCCCTAGAAATCGATTTTTGAAGATGAACCGAAATCCAGCCGCCTCTAAAATTGATTTATGAAGGTCGGCTAGGCGAAGGAGGCGTTGTGGGGGCATAGCGGTGGGGCCGCCGCTGGCCGCAAGTGGCGGGAGATGGCGATTGAGTCAAGGAAGGACGGGGAGTCATGCCGATGGCCGGATGACATCAGGGTAACACAATGAAGGGCAGCAGGGACAGGCTTGACGGGGGGACACCGCTGAGGATGGGAGGCGACCAACAATAGGTGGAGGAGCCATAACGGAGAGTGGTTTTCGCAACAAGGTAGAAGAAAGGGAAGTTGAAGGAGAACTGTAGCAGCTGAGCAGGGACAGTCGAAGTGACACCTATAGTTACTGTTTGTCACCTGAAAAATTGATAAAACAGAGTGTAAGCAATTCCTTTGGTCTGCCTCATTTCACTTCTCCTATATTTCAGGTGTCTGAATTTTAAGATGATTTCAGACACCACTCTTGTATCAGCAACTAGTACAAGTAATTGTTACTTTTGTTATTTGTAATTTATCTTTGTGTCATAAAATATTGAATTTTTATCCTTGTCTGACTATATAAATAATTGTAAATAATAAAATTGTTAATTGTCTTTGTACTAGCATAAATCACATTTTATCGGGTTTGTAATTTTGTCTAGTTTTTTATTCTCGGAACCGAAAATTGCAAATTGTGCCTACTAAAATTGCAGCGTGCTAAAACTACAATTTTAATACAAAATATATCCAATAGTCGTTGCCTGAAAGGAAACTAAAATTCAAACACGTGAATTTTAGCAAGTCACTTCTCATCTTTATTGATGGATGGATACATTAACGATGAATACACTGCTCTTCGTTCTAATAATCTCCTCGGCGCTGCAGCAAGTGCTCGACCAGCTCTTCGATGTAGCGCTCCTGCGTTGGCGTATCCCAAAGAACCTCCTGCAATCCCTTGGCACTGCGCGAGAACTCCTTGCCTTCCTCCTCCACCATCTCCACCATCACCCGCCGCACGATCCTCGCGACGTCCTCGCCGCGGAACTCGCTGCCGCAGTCATCCCAGGGCACCTCCAGGCCGACCCGCCGCTCCGTCATCAACCGCGCCGTGAGGCCCTGGTCGGCGAACAGGGGCAGCATCACCAGCGGGTGGCCGAACAGGAAGCTCTCCATGTGGGAGCTCCACCCAACGTGCGTCATGAAGGCGCCCACCGCGGCGTGCACGAGCACGCGCACCTGCGGCACCCACCCGACGCGCACCACCCCGCGCGCGCCCACACGGTCCTCGAACCCGTCCGGGAGCTGCGGCCGCTCGCCGCCGACCGGCTTCCAGAGCGCCCAGAGGAAGCGCACGCCCGCCAGCTCCAGCCCGAGCCCGAGCGCGCGGACGTGCGCCGGCGTCAGCGGCGCCTCGCTCCCGAACGCCACGTAGAGCACGGACCGCGCGGGCTGGGCGTCGAGCCAGCGCATGAGCCCGCGCTCTCCTCGTCGTCGTGCTCGCCCTCGCCGTCGGCCGCCGCGGCACGAACGGCCGCATCGTACGGCGCGAGGAGGCCCGAGGGGAGGACGGGCTTGCCGTAGAGGTCGCCGAGGAGGGTGCAGAGTGGGCCGTCGACCTCGTGGCTGTAGCGGCACACGATGAGCGGGCAGCGCTGCGTCGTCTCCCAGATGCGGCCGACGTCGGAGATGCCGGACACGTTGGGCTGCCACGCCCCTGCGACCCACTCGGCCTCGTGGCCGCGGAACGCGAGGCAGGACGGAGAAAGGATCCACGGCGGCGGAACGGTGAAGTCCTCCGCCGCGGATCGCGGGTGCGCATCGTTGAGCTCCTTTGGGCCCACGAACGCGACGCAGGCCGCAGGGAAGATCAGGAACACCGCGCATGGCTGGCACCTGCACTTGCCACGGAGACGGTCGGTCAGACACTCGGACGAAATACATGCCTTGTGCTCCTCGGGGATGGGCGGAAGCCAGTGCTGCGCGAAGTCGAGGATGATCCAGTCGGGCTTCTTGGAGTGCCCTTCTCTGGCCTCCCCTTCGGCGCAAGCCTCGGCGAGGAAGGAGGCGAAGGGGGCGGCAAGGCCATCGAAGGTGATCTTAAGGAGGTCAACCTTCTCCGGCGGGACGTCGGCCGTTGACTCGGTGCCATCCGGGGGGCCATCCACGAGCGGCAGGGGCAGTGGCACGAGCCGGATGCGCGGCCTAACGTCGTCGGCGACAGGCCTCAGCTTGACGAGGTTCCTCGGGGCACTGACGAAGGTGACGAAGTGGCCGCGCTTGGCGAGCTGCTCGGAGAGCTCGAGGAAGGGGATGATGTGGCCGAAGGCGAGCCATGGGAACACCACGATGTGCAGAGGAGAAGACTCCTGCTTGTTGGATTTTGCCATGAATGGTAATCTTCTTCTTGGAGCTTGATCGATGTGTGAATGCGAACACTGATCTTGGTGTGGACAAGATGTTATCTATGCCCTTGTTTAGCTGGGTGAATTTGGATTTTGGGGTTACTGTAGCACGTTTGTTTTTATTTGGTAAATAGTGTTCAAATATGGACTAATTAGGCTCAAAACGTTCGTCTCGCAATTTCCCATCAAACTGTGCAATTAGTTTTTATTTTCGTCTACATTTAATGCTCCATGCATGTACCGCAAACATTCGATGTGACAGGTACTATAGCAACTTTTTAGACTTTAGGATCCAACTAAACAAGGCCTATATCTCTTATATATAAGTCTTTCTCAACATGTAAACTATCAACATCATATCCCACTAATTATCCACATCATCTCCCACTAATAACTATATCTATATCTATATCTATATATCTCTTATAAAGTTAATCCCCACTACAAGTCTACCTCAACATGCAAGCCATCTACATCATACCCCACACATCATGTCCTACTAATAGTTATATCTATATCTCTTATAAAGTTAATCCCCACTACAAGTCTACGTGCAAGCCATTCACATCATACCCCACTAATTATTTACATCATCTTCCACCAATAATTATGTCATTCTACTACTTTTCAACCTCTAATCATAAGTTATTCACATAGATCATCCCCACTCACTTTCATTCCAAAATTCTCCGTATTAGCCGTAGCAACACTTGGGTATCTTCTAGTTTAGAAGAAGCGAGTACCCAAGTGCAGGTACAATCATATATGACTAGCTTGTCAGAATCAAATACTATCTCTGTCAAAAAGAATGCAATTACAGGTTGCATGCCGACTAAAGTGGTTCATGTTTGATCAAGTTTCTAATAAATAGTATTCATAATTATAACTCTAAATTAATTTATTATAAAAATATATTTCGTACTTATTCTAATGGTACTTATTTGATATTATAAATGTTGATATTTTTTATTTATAATTGATCAAATTTAAAATATTAAATATAACACTATGCTAAAATTGCATTCTTTCTGGCATCCAAATTTGAAAGGTTCCATCGTATCACGTGAACTATATAGTATTTACTTGGTTCCGGGCGTGTGAACTGTCCGTCTCACAATTTTAGTAGCATGTGAATATCAATGTATACCTTTTTTATTCTACATTAGTACTTTGATCAGCCATGAGATTTGAGGAGTGTGGCAGAATCGTCTGAAATAATACGTTTTCAGAGGTGCTTGTCTTTCAATAGACGCTAAGCACCTCGAAAGTGAGCTATATTGGACAGTTCCTTTGAGCACACCCCAAAAAAAAACTCGAAACAATCCACGTTTTACATCTAGGATTCAATAATGAGTACAAGTTTACAATACTTAGTCCATTTCATACAACAAGAGTTCTTGAAAATTATTTATTACAATACCAGAGTTCAAAGTGCGATAATTAAACAACGGAATGAAAATAACCATCTAGCGAAAATGATATAGAGATTCGTCTGTGCCCACCAAAAGAATCATCCACACAAGAGTTACTCCTCAAGCTGCACCTGCAACAGGGGTAAAATAAACCCTGAGTACACAATGTACTCGCAAGACTTACCCGATCAGTGGGAATAGTTTCCCGACTCTCAGGGATATGATAGGCAATATGGGTTTGATGTTTTCTTTTTGTTTGCGAAAAGCATTACTAGAAGTACGTCTTTAAGATCAAGTTTAATTAGCAGTCATAATTACTTCATTAGCTAACTATTATAGGTAAGCACATCAAGGGTTAAGCAATCAGAACCATTTCACCATCTTTCATCTTTTAGTTCTTATTACGGTGTTAGACCATAGTCAAGTCGTACCGTCTCACGAAAACGGCGATTCGCTAACCAATGTATCCTAGTTGGGTACCCCAAAACACACGTCCCGTTTGTACCCCAGGCACAAACAAGACCAACCCATTCCACTCTTGTCACGAGGTCCAGGTCCCCGTCCAAACTTGGACTCCAAGCCCCCACACTTGAGACCCGATCTTAGTATGGTGCTTAGACCTCTACCTTTTTCCGCCTCCAATCAGTCGGTTCGGAAAGAGCCGGAACCCACGACAAGAGCATAACGAGCCTTCCCGCTCCCATAAGTGTAACACATTAAAATTTGCCTATTTTGAAAATAGGTTTAAAATGATTTATTTCTGAATTTTGTGCTCATGAAATATTGGACAATAAAATTTTTCATTAAATTAAAATTCATCATAAGGTAGCAATATGTTTGAGAATACATGCCCTTGCATTTGATTTATTTGGTTGAGTAGTTTTGATTGAAAATTTAAAATGGTTAAATAGCTTTTGTAAATGAAATTAAAAAAGGT